GCATCATCATGATGATAATCATCCTCATCAGCAGCAGCATCATCACCTTCATCACCTTCATCGCCTTCATCACCTTCATCACCTTCATCATCATCATCATCATCATCGACATCGTCGCCATCATCATCGTCATCATCGCCATCCGAATCATCATCCTCATCCGCGTCCTCATACTCCACCTCCTCCTCCACCTCGTCATCATCATTACCATCATCATCATCATCATCATCATCATCATCATCATCATCATCATCATCATCCTCGTCGTCGTCAACATGTTCTGATTAAGCTGTTTCCGCGCCATTACCAATATGACAATGTACCCATGCATGATGCCGCATGGCTCCATGGTTAATGTGCCCCGTAATGTGGCTAGTGCCCGTATCAGCTGCGTTCACAATGATGACGGTACTTCTGCTCACATTGTGGACACTACCGCAAATGTTAACAGCCATGTGAACTGCCCCGAACACCCATCACCATCATCATCATCATCATCATCATCCTCATCCTCATCCTCATCCTCATCCTCATCCTCCTCATCATCATCATCATCATCTTCACAACCACCATAACAATTAGCAGCGTCATCGTACTCACCAGCAGCAGTTTCATTGTTATCGTCATCAACACCAGAATCATCATCACCATCACCATCATCATTAGAATCAGAATCGGAATCAGCATCATCGTCATCATTACCATCGACGTCGTCATCATCTCCGCTACCAGCATCGTCGTCATCAACTGCATTGCCGTCAAGACCATCAGCATCATCGGCACTGTCATCGCCATCACCCGAATCAGCATCACCACCATCAGCAGAATCAGCACCGTCATCGTCATCCGAAGAATCAGCATCATCACCATACCGTCTCAACCCGGCCTGATCTCCGCGGGTCGCATTCAAGGGCCTGGATGTTGCTTACTGTGGTCATCATTATTCCAAGTGGTGCAGAATGTGCAATTTCAAGTTTATTCCCTTCTTGGTTTGGAGTGACAATCTGTTCATACTGGCCAACAGTATCGTGGATGCGCGTGAGATATGGAAGAGATGTCGTGCAGCACGTGTTCTTTATGGTCCAAGACATGGCCTGCTGTTGAGATTATCCCGCATGATAAGGCGATGAAGATCACTGGCATATGGATGAACGCTCGTGGACAGCTGGATCAAGATGTTCGCACTAAAACGCTCACGGCTACATCAGTGGTGGGATCTGTCCAGCACTTACTTTCTAGTCCGTCAAGCACTCGTATATCTAGATTTCGCTTGATTCACCGTACGGTATCATCTTCGTGCTTATGGTGTTCACCAGTCTGGAATCTATGCCGACGCAAGGCATTGGCTTTGCGTGCGGCTCAGACAAAACAATTTGCTCGTCACATACGTTGGCCTCGTCTACCAGAAGAAACTGATGAATCGTATTCTCGGTCGGTCAGGTCGCAGATTAAGAAAATCAAGATTGCTGAACACATCCAGGACCTAGATGTAATAGTATGGCGTCGTCTTCATAGGTATGCTGGCCATAACGCACGTAAAGCTCATCAGAATCCTGATTCTATTCTGGGTCATGTTCTGAACTGGAATTCTCACCAACACGCTGTAACTGAACAAAGAGAAGGAGAAAAACAGGGTTTTCAGAAGTTTTCGTGGCAATGTGTCTGGGAATATCAATTGACTAGATTCTATTATCCTCGACGTATTCACTGGATGGAATTGGCTCTAGATAGATATGCGTGGAAGGCGTATGAGGAGGAATCTATCCTTTGGCGGCTGGGGGAATCTAAAGATCGTGCTAGTGTCTGAGGCTGTACTGAGGGGGAGTACATTTATGGAGTTTGGGAGAATCCAACAATCGTGCTAGCGTATCTGATAACTTATTGTACGAGGTTTACTTTGTCGTCGTCCTTGCCTGAGCTCCTGCCCTCTCTGCCTCTCGCTCCGCTGCTGCGTTTAGAGTAGTATGTCATGCTGGATGGCCCCATCTCTTATAGCATGCCACCACCACCACCACCTCGTTTGTTTCCACTTCCGTACCCATTTCGGGCGTCCAGATTCCTTTTGGCTCAGCTCTGGACCCCCTCCCCGGGTGCTGGAGGCCCCGCGGCGCCAGGCAGGCGGCCCCGAGGACCAGCTGCCGCTCCGGCTCGACCTGCGACAGAGCCAAGCATCGGTCCTGCGGGCGAGCCGCCACCGCTCGTCATCGTCGCTGCCGCCCCCGTCGCCGCTCCTCCTCCTCCTCCTCCTCCTCCTCCTCCTCCTCCTCCTCCTCCTCCTCCTCCTCCTCCTCCTCCTCCTCCTCCTCCTCCTCTCCTCCTCCTCCTCCTCCTCCTCCTCCTCCTCCTCCTCCTCCTCCTCCTCCTCCTCCTCCTCCTCCTCCTCACCTCCTCCTCGTCCTCCTCCTCCCTCCTCCTCTCCTCCTCCTCCTCCTCCTCCTCCTCCCCTCTCCTCCCCCCTCATCCTCCTCCTCCTCCTCCCTCCTCCTCCACCTCCTCCTCC